GCTGTGGCTGCCCCAACCCTGGCAGAGTTCATAGCCAGGTTGGATGAGCCTTGAGCAACCTGCTCTGGTGGGAGGTGTCCCTGCCCAGGGCAGGGGTTGAGGCTGGTGATCTCTAAACTCCATTCCAACCCCTAAAACTCTATGATTCTACAAATGCTAACTCCCTCACTCCTGGTCTCTCCATAGCTTCATGTGGTCCTTCGAGAAGATCCACAGGAGCATTGCACACATCTTCCAGGGGGAGCTGGTGGCCAGCTTCGACGAGGAGTTCCGCATCCTGTTCGCGCAGTCGGAGCCGCTTGTCCCTCCGGCCAACGTCCTGGCTAAGGCAGAGAACGCCTTTGCCATGGCTCCCTTTGGCAACAACAACATGTCCTTCTTTCCCAAGAAAGGGCCCCTGATGTTCCAGAGGGATGACAACCTCTTCCCCTCCTTCATGGACAGAATGGAGCCGGACAGGTACTTTCTCTCCAACTTCCGGCGGGACGACCTGCTGCGGCACACCGTGGAGGGCTCGGCCATGCGCATGTACAAAAAGGTGGAGCTGGAGAACTCCCAGATAGATCCTGTCAGGGGCTTCCTGCGCTCCAAGCAGCTGGAGTTGGATGCCTTTAAGAGACACAGCTTTGCGGAGGGAACGTTCGAGAACTTTGCCTCTTCCAAACAGTACGCGCGGCAGATGTTCATGAACAACATGGACGAGTTCAAAATCCAAGCCAGTCACTTCCAGAAGGACCAGTTCTACCAGTACCAGTTTGAGCACCCCCACCTGGCCGGCAGACCCCAGGGGTTCTTTGACAGGATCCGAGGGGGGAGACCAGGATTCAACGAACTGGAAGACTACGGGGAGGGCCCTCGATACCCCGAGCTGGAACCCAGTTTCCCACAGGAGGGGTTCCCGCTGCGGCTGGATTACGTCCCCTCCAACTCCTCCAGGGAGGTGAGACACGGCTCGGACCAGCTGAACCCTGCGGGGAACGGCCCCATGGGCATGATGCTGCGGAGGCAGAACATAGGCCAGAAGTTCATTTGCCAGACCTCTCCCACACAGAAGCAGAGCCTGGAGCAGCGCCTGTTCCTGCAAGACAAGGATGAGGAGCAGGACGACGACAAGAGCGCGGAGAACAGGACGGGGCTGAGGAACTGGAGGATTTCCTCGTACCTCAGCGCGTACCAGTCGGAGCCGGACGAGGGGCTCCCGATGCCCATGGAGTCCGAGGCCTACAACGATGCCATTGGGGAGCCGCTCACCAAGCATCCCACCGACCTCGTTCCAGGCTTCAAATCCCCCTTGGCTTTCAGCAGCAAGCCACTGGGAATTGACAGTGCCAAGGAGTTTTCAGATTCTGACAGAGCAGGTGAAGAAACCTCGATAATGAAACCAGATGCCTTCAGGTCCAGGATAAACCCCTTGATCCAGAGGAGCTCCAGGCTCAGGTCCTCTCTGATTTTCAGCGCTGCCAAATTAGATCAGCCCAACACCACCATAGAGAAGGTGCAGATGATCCAGAAAGAGCAAATGTCCACTGAGCTGACAAAGGACAACGAGACCATCAAGACAGCTGCGTCCTCCAAAGTGGCTGAGCTGCTGGAGAAGTACAAAGCTGTGGGCAAGGACATGGATCGGGGCACGGTCACCCACACCAAAGCTGTCTCAGGTTACCTCCAGGAGGAATCCCAGAGCACGGAGAAGAAAAGTACCAAGTCTGTGCAGTATAAGATCCTGGAGAGCAGAGTGATGGACTCCAAAGACTCCTGCAGCACTTACAAAATGCATGGAGACCTGGACAGGGCGTTTGGAATGGCCTCGGCCACCCCCCAGCTTGGGGAGGGGCTGAGCAAAGATCCCTTGGCACATCTCGGCACTAAGGTGGACAAGTTGTCCTCTCGGTTTTACCCCATCGAGAGCAAACCTGCTCTTCCAGAAAAAGAGAGTCTGATATATGTAGGAGACACTCAGAAATTGGCTCTTCCAGAGAAGAAGGACAGAGTGACCTTCAGAGAAGACACTCAAAAATTAGCCAACACAGAACTGAAGAAGCCACAGGGTAGGACAGGTACAATGTCCTCCGGTCTGGAAAGCTTGTCCAGGAGTCAAGGGTCTGACAGCTCTCTGAACAAATCCGAGGAAGACTGTTCAAAACAGGAACAAAATCCCATGGAATTCTTAAGGAAAGGGTCACTAAGGCTGAAGCAGTTCTTGAACCCAAAAGGTGACAAGAAACTGGAGGAGGAACCCACGTCTGAGGGTGGGAAGGGTGAGAAACAGACAGTGGTGCTCAAACGATCGTCCACAGGGGACTGCCAGGAAGGGATGGAGGAAGAGAAACCCCACAAGTTCACAGCTCCACTGCCCCCCAAGAGCAGCCAACAGACCCAGGGGAGGTTCCCTTCCTCCACAGCCAACATCCTGTACAGCAGCAACCTGCGCGACGACACCAAGGTGATCCTGGAGCAGATCTCTGCCAACAGCCAGAAGAACAGAGCCGAGCTGGCCAAGCAGCTGCCATCCACCAGCAACCCTGACCTCTCCAGGTCAACCACGAGCCTGGAGAGGAAAGGGGAGAAGGAGAAGAGCTGCAACATCCACAGGTCAGAGAGCTTTGGGAGCCAGAAGCGGAACCTGCAGCGGCAGCCATCGGAGGACAGGGACACCCTCCTGAAGAAGATGGAGAACATGAGGAAAGAGAAGAGAGTCTACAGCAGGTTTGAGGTGTTCTGCAAGAAGGACGAGCACATGAGTCCGAGTGAGGAGGAATATGACACAGATGCCAAAGACAAGAAGATGGGAAAGTTCATGCCCAAAATCCTGGGGACCTTCAAGACCAAAAAATGAGCCTAGCAATGCTATTTAACTCCACTCAATCACTGACTGACACAGGGGAACGAGGAGGAAAGTGGCTTAGGGTGGCTACAAACCCCACGAGTGATGTTCCTCCTGGTTAGTGAGCAGGAACATGTCCAGCATGAGCTTCCCACAGCAGTTTGCCCATCAGGTCAGGGGGTACCAAACAACCTTATCGCAGTGTGTCCAAATAAAACCATTAAATTGCCAACATGCCAAGCACACACAAGTCTGTTTTGTCGAAAGAAGTCTCTGTTCTGCCACTGCACAAAACTCAGAGTCTCTGGCACACCCAGGGAACGTTGTCAGCAACAAAACAGCTCCACTGGCAGAAGGAAAGTGTGAAAAGTAGAGAGCAGAGCTCAGGCCAGGAGTGAGAAACACACACATACACACACATCCATTGGCTGAGGGAAGTGTTTAAGGCCTGGTTGTCTCTCAGGGACAGTTATCCCTTCTCTGTCTCATGATCAGTCGGACACAGGAGTGACTCTGTGAAGGTTTGCAGACAAGAGGTGTCGTAACCAATGCTTTGCCCGAACCTGTGGTTCTGGCCTGGTCCAGCAGCACAGGCACAGCTCCTGGATTTACCAGTTCCTGAGCTGGGAGCTCTGCTCTGCTCCTGGTGGGTTGGCCTGAGCATAGGGAATGACTTGTGTCAGGGGCTGAGCTGGAAGGCCACAAAAAGGACACTGAAGAGCAACTGATGGAGAAGGTTCTAGGAGTCCTTTTCACCTCGCCCAGGAGTTTAATGACTTGACATAAAAATCCCTTGGCCACGGAGTGATTTCCTTGGCAGTGCTACATCCAGTTCATGAGGGGACAGGGCTGGAGCAGCAGGAGAGGCTGAGGGAGCTGGGAAGGAGCTGGGCCAGCAGGAGAGGTTGAGGGAGCTGGGAAGGGGCTGGAGCAGCAGGAGAGGCTGAGGGAGATGTGGAGGAAAAGCTTGGAGAAAAGTAGGCTCAGGGGAACCTTCTGCTCTCCTCAACTCCTGCCAGGAGGTACAGTCAGGTGGGATCAGGTTCTGCTCCCAGGGAACAGGGACAGGATGAGAGGAGAAACCTCAAGCTGTGCCAAGGAAGGTTCAGGTGGGACACTGGGCCAGTCCCTCCTGGAAAGGGCCACCCACCCCTGGCACAGCTTCCGGGGCAGGACATGTATGCAGTGCATGTATCTGCAGCAGTTAATGATTACACCACTGTTTGCTGCAAACCTTGGGAACTGGATGTGTCCACAGACTGTCTGACCTGAACACAAACACTGAACAGATCCCAGTTTAATACAGATGGTGGTAAAAATCTGCAGGAATCAAGAGGAGTTAAAAGTCGGAGCATCAGGAGATAAACTGAGAAATTAAGAGGGGGAAAAAGAGAAAAAAATAGGATAGAAAAACTAGACAATATTAGGATAAAAGCTGAAATTGATTTCTTATACCCATTCCATATTATCACAGAATCCCAAGGTGGTTTGGGTTTGGAGGGACCACAAATCCCATCCCACCCCTGCCCTGGGCAGGGACACCTCCCACCAGCCCAGGAGGCCCCCACCCGGCCCTGGACCCCCCCCGGGGGTGGCCCAGCCACAGCTGCTCTGGGCAACCTGTGCCAGAGCCTCAGCTCCTCCCAGGGAGGAATTCCTGCCCAATATCCCATCTGTCCCTGCCCTCTGGCAGTGGGAAGCCATTCCCTGTGTCCTGTCTCTCCATCCCTTGTTCCAGGTCCCTCTGCAGCTCTCCTGGAGCCCCTTGAGGCACTGGAAGGGGCTCTGAGGTCTCCCAGAGCTTTCTCTCCTCCAGGCTGGACAGCCCCAGATCCCCCAGCCTGGATCCAGGGCAGAGGAGCTCCAGAATCCAGATCCTTAAGAAGGGACCTTAAGTATCACACAAGTGCCACCCCCTGCCCTGGGCAGTGACACCTCCCACCAGCCCAGGTGGCTCCAAGTCCCATCCAACCTGGCCTGGAACACTCCCAGGGATGGAGCAGCCACAGCTGCTCTGGGAATTCCATTCCAGTGCCTCATGTGCACCTCCTGCAGCACGACCAGTTCCCTGGGCAGCAGAGAACACCCTGCAGGAAGAAATGGTTGTGCTGCAGCTCTCACCTCAGCCTGGATGGAGCTCACAGAGCACCTGGGCCAGCTGCTCTGGGAATTCCATTCCAGTGCCTCATGTGCACCTCCTGCAGCACGACCAGTTCCCTGGGCAGCAGAGAACATCTGTATTGGGGTTTGAGTATGGAGTAAACCCTATTGGAAATGTAAGGGGAAAAGGGATGAAAGTAGCTGGGCTGTTGGGAGGGGCAGGACCCAGGGGAGGTCACAGCCTGACCTGGGCACGGGGGTCGTTCTCTGTGCCCCACAAGTGGCATCTGGGGCTCTCAGGAGCCCACACAGAGCTGTGCCCATACAGTGCTCAGCAGCCTCACACAGGCAGGAAACACCTGAGCATGGACAGAGCTCAGTGAAGCACTTCCCCTGAGCAGCTGTCCCAGCTCCCTCCTGCTCCCAGGTCCAGAGCCCACACCTGGGACCAAGGGCACTGCTCTCACTTTTAACTACATACACCTGGGTGCTCAGGCACTAAGGATGCACTGGAAGCTCAGCCCGTGGCAGTGGAACTCACTGGACCTGAGCACCCAAATCCACTCGGGAACTGCAGTCCCAACCTTCTGGAGTAACAGGAATATAAAGTTTCCTGTAGTCCCAGTGTATCCTGGTAACACCTTCAGGATGTCTCAGCACCAGTTACCTCCTGGAATTTGCTTTCTGAAAGCACAAACAATAAAAATGACCAATTATTCATTGAAGGCAGCCTAGGATTTTCCCTGGGATTCTTTCCAAAGCTGCTGGAAAGACCAAGATTTGCTGCAGTGCAATACAAAGCATTTATTGTGGCAGTATTTACAGTGCTACAAGGCAGAGAAGCTGTTAGGGACTGCAGCAGGACCCACCTGCATGTCAGAGCTTTCCTGCTTAGCTGTGACAACAACCACCATGGATTCTGTTCACCTCCCACACAAGAGCCATGAAAACGAGTGGAACACAAAATGCAGCACTGTGAGATGATCTGTGACGAGTTTGGAACACTCACTCACCTGCTCTGCTCAGAAAATATCCACATTAAGGCACATGGCTGAAGAATCCTGGAACAGTTTGGAAGGGACCTTTGAAAGGTCACCCATCCCACCCCTGACCTGGGCAGGGATACCTCCACCAGCCCAGGTGGCTCCAAGCCCATCCAACCTGGCCTGGAACACTCCCAGGGATGGAGCAGCCACAGCTGCTCTGGGAATTCCATCCCAGCCCCTCACCACCCTGACAGGGAGGAATTCCTGCCCAATCTCCCTCTGGCAGTGGGATCCATTCCCTGTGTCCTGTCCCTCTGTCCCTTGTCCCAAGTTCCTCTGCAGCTCTCCTGGAGCTCCTTGAGGCACTGGAAGGGGCTCTGAGGTCTCCCTGGAGCTTCTCCAGGCTGAACACCCCCAGCTCTGCCAGCCTGGATCCAGGGCAGAGGAGGTCCAGCTCTCAGAACATTTTCTTGGCCTTTCACTTGGCCTTGTTGAGCTTGAGGAGGTTTCCCTGGGCCCTGAATGTGTGTAAATCCACTCAAGCACCAGAATATTGCCATTTTCTGTCCTTTTTGCAACAACTCACAAGAGGACTTGGAACTTGCAGTGTTTACTGCCCTCACAGTGTGGGAGCAAACCTGCTGCACCCTTGTGTGGAGGGACTGGAAGGCAGAGGGGCTGGATTCCCTTTCCTGTTGGCTTGTCCAGAGGGAAGGAGGACTTTGTCCTGTGCAGTGGGTAAGGCACTTCCTTGTGTTTTGCCCTCCCTTGCTGCCCCTGCTGCACCAGAGGCTGAGGGTGAGCTGCACTTCACCTGGCTGGAACAGCTCCATGCTCACTGCTCCAGGTCCTGGGAGGCCTTTGCTATGGGAAGACTCTGCAGAGCAGATTTGCTGATGGTCCCATAGGCCTGGGAGTAGCTTCCCATTGAGGCCTTTGGGTCACCTGCAGCTCCCACATTTGCAGTGATCTGGAACATCTTCTTACTGGGCTTCAGCAGGGGACGAACGTCCTTGCTGGGACACTGGGAATTTCTGGGATTCTGCATGGGAAAGGAAAGCCAAGAGAAGTGACTAACCTGGAATCAGCTTCCTGGAATAGAAACAGGACACAGGTTTGGCTTTGGTCAGCATCACCCTCTCAGGGAACACACACAAAGCTCAGGGCATGCAGAGGGTGATCTCCTCCCTGTTCTGCTCTTCCTGTCACAGAAAGTTGGCCACAATTCCCTAAGGATTCTTCTAAATGCACTGGTCATGTGCACACCTGCAATGTAGAGCAAGCTCCACAATCCCATGGGATGGAATGAATCACTCTGAAGTTCCTGGCAGCCTGGGCTGGTGGAAGGTCTCCCTGCCCATGGGACGAGATGAGCTTTAAGGTTCCAAAGCATTCCCTGATCCTATGGATCTGTGGTGCCTCTTTTCATGCCCTTCCTCTGCCACAGGGTCCCCCAGTGAGTTGTGCTGGTGCCAGCACTCAGCCAGCTCATGAGGACAAAAAGCAGGAGCAAGAGGTCACCAAAGAACCCAGTGAAGGTAAGGACTTGTACAAGGAACCGTGGCCAGGCACAAGGAAGAGAGAGGAGCAGAGAGGACAGGACTGACACCTCCACTGCTCTGCACCAGCAATCCATTGGAGTCATGGAATCATGGCCATTGGAGTCATGGAATCATGGCATCATGGAATCATTGAGGTTGGAATCATACAATCAGCCAGGTTAGAAGAGACCTCCAAGATCATCGAGTCCAACCCTACCGTGGTCACTAGACCATGGCACTAAGTGCCACATCCAGTCTCACCTAGAAAACCTCCAGGAATGGTGAATCCACCACCTCCCTGGGCAGCACATTCCAATGTCTGATCACTCTCTCTGTAAAACATCTCTTCCTCATATCCTCCCCTGGCAGAGCTTGAGGGGGAGAACTCTAAACCATTCCCCAGCCAAAGATCACCGAGTCCACCCCTACCGTGGTCACTAGACCATGGCACTAAGTGCCACATCCAGTCTCACCTAGAAAACCTCCAGGAATGGTGAATCCACCACCTCCCTGGGCAGCACATTCCAATGTCTGATCACTCTCTCTGTAAAACATCTCTTCCTCATATCCTCCCCTGGCAGAGCTTGAGGGGGAGAACTCTAAACCATTCCCCAGCACTGCCAAGGCCACCACTGACCTGTCCCCAGTGCCACATCCACATGGCTGTTAAACTCCCCAGGGATAGGGACACCTCCCTGCTCTGGGCAGCCCTTTCCAGGAGGAATCTTCCCTAAACCTCCCCTGGCACAGCTTGAGGCTGTTCCTCCTGCCCTGTCCCTGTTTCCTGGGAGCAGAGCCTGACCCCACCTGCCTCCTGTGAGGTAGTTGTAGAGAGTGAGAAGCTCCTCCGTGAGACTCCTCTTCTCCAGGCTGAGCCCCCCCAGCTCCCTCAGCCACTCCTCATATGACTTACTCTCTAGACCCTTCCCCACCTCTGTTGTTCTTCTCTAGACATGCTTTAGCATCAGCATCATGTGCAAAGGGACAATCACTTCCCTGTTCCTCC